CTATGCCATATTTGTGATCTGTGTTTCTCCCTTTCTGTTTGTGACACCCCTCCCCAGTGCAGAGAATTGGCACTGCTGCTGCCACCAGCTTGGTTTTGAAGTACTCTTTCTTGTCCTCTGTTCAATGAACCTCAATCTCTGGGGCTCTCCAAGTCTTCTGACCATGCAGTATTGAATTTCAGTGAATTCCCTCTGTCAGGGGAGTTATGCATTTTTGGAGACTTCTTATTGGACTGTTTCCTCATGTTTTCTGAAGTCCAATATTTCTGAGGTCCTATCTGTTGTGATATTTTCATTAGTAATTATTACTTTATACTAAGCCCTGGACATGGGTAAATGTTAGCTTCATCACACTCAATCAGCATAATCAAAATGCAAAGTTCAACCACCACCAGTACCACCTTGAGAGGAGGAATAATTGCCAGTAACAGTGGAAATTTAAAAACAAATTATATATCAACATATACCATAAGTGCTTTTACTAATGGTCTCTAAAATATTAACCAAGGAGTAAATTGAGAAATAATATCAAATAAGCTGAAAAGAGTAAGGATTAATGACGACATACCAATTTATATGGAAGAAAGGATAAAAATGAAAGAAAACAGAGAAAAATAGGAAAAGTGGAAGAAGAAGGATAAGAGAGGGAATTGAGGCAGAAGATGAAATGAGGAAAGAAAAAATGATGAAGGAGAGGGGAAGGAAGGAGAGATGAGAAAGAAGAAAAGAGAACCAAGGAAAGATCCAATTAATTGTCAAAATGCATAAAGTTAGGTAGAACTCTGAAAACACACAAAATGTAGGAAGACTTTGGAAATCAATTTAAATCAAGTAGTTAGTGCAATAATTGTCATACAGAAATTCTGCTTTCTTCTTATGGAAGTTTTTCAAATAGAGACAATTCTTTCTGGGTTTCAATTTTAGAATCTCCCAGATATCAGGGAGTTTGGGTGACACAATATTATAATTGTTTGATTCTCAGTTCTGACCAAGGCAACCAAACTTGTTAGGAAAGGCTGAATGCTGAGCTTCACCCCTTCCTGTCTGGCACATCTATTGGGAGAATGCTTTCTGTTTTTAGAGCAGACTTTATTCTCAAAATGGTTTTGTTTTTGTAACATAGAATGTGGATGTAAGTCTGGTAGGACTGTTGGCCAGTCCTCTCCCCTGTGCAGCCTGTAGACTAATCTGGGTGGTCTTGCATCCCTTGTTCTGAGAACCCCAGTCTGTGTGCTGGGGGAGCTGTGTGGGACATGTCAGCGTATTCTCCAGTCCCTTCTGGGCATGGGAAAGATGATGTAGGTTCCATGGTAGGCTGTTATGAGATCCCTGCTTTCCACTCAGCTCTAATATGTCCCAATTGCACCTCCTGTCATCTACTCTCTTTCTCCCAGCATTGAGACCTCCAGTTTAAATGAAAGTTCTCTTTGCTCTTCTCCAGTCTGTGAACTAGCAGACCCACAGCTGCAGCTCTCAGAGCCCAGACCTCCTCCCAAGTCTGTGTTTCAGTCTCACTTCTGTGCCCAAACTGACTCATGAGAGGGGCACCCACCCATCTCATGATGATTAAGCCTAGCCAGTGCAGTGGCACACATCTGTAATCCCAGAGACTCAGGAGGCTGAGGTAGGAGGATTGCAAGTTCAAGGCCAGCCTCAACAACTCGTGGGCCCTAAGCAACTTAATGAGACCCTGTCTCAAAATTTAAAAATAATTAAATAAATAAATAAAGACTGGGATAAGGCTCAGTGGTTAAGTGCCTTTGGGTTTAATCCCTGTTACCAAAAATAGATATATTTTTAAAAAATCAAAAAGTACTAGGGATGTAGTTCAGCGTTAAAGCACCCCTGGGTTAAATCCAGTACCAAAAAGGGAAAAAAAAGTAAGCCTAAGTGGCTGTTTGGTCTTGGGTTCTCAAAGAGAAAGTATACCAAGAACAAAGCAAAAAAAAAATTTAAAAATAGCGAACAAAGTATGAAGAACAAAGGAAAGCTGCAGTGATTTCTAGCCTCCCATCCAGGAAGTCCAAGCAGTACTTTTAAGCTGTTTTGGCTTCCCCACTTTCACTAAGTTTGCTGGAGAGTGCTGGGACTTTCTCCCACAGCACATCAGCTCACTGTATCTGAGTGAGCTGTTTCTGTTCAAGTTGTGAATTTGTTGGACAATGGCACCTGTTTATCTTAAACTCAGTGGGAGAACTTTTTTCAGCTCACTGGAAAGGAGCTGTCCCTCTGACTGAACCACCATGACCCCAGGACTGCTAAAGTCTATTCTTTGATCAATTCTCTTTCTAGTCTAGAAACTAATATCTCTGGTTTTCACCTATTTGCTAGTTTTGTGAGTTGCCCACTGGCATTCTCCCACAGGCTTCCTACTTCAATTTGATACCACAGAATTGTTTTAATTCAGTCTTAGGGAGCTGCTATGATATTGTAGGTTCCTCTGATCTGCCATTTTCAATCCTCAATCTGTAGCTTTTCTAAATATCAACAACAGACCTGCTGAAATAAAAATCAGGAAAACAAATCATTTACCATGATCTCAAAGAAATAAAACACATAGGAATAAACTTAACCAAGAAGGTTAAAGACCTGTACAGTTAAAATTACAAAACACTGAAGAAAGAAGCAGAAGAAGACATCTCCTAGATGGAAAGACCTCCCATGTTCTTGCATTAGAATTAATATTGTTTAAATGGGCATACTACAAAAGCCATCTACAGGTTCAGTGCAATTTCCATCAAAATATCAGTCATTTTTTACAGAACTAGAAAAAATAATCCAAAAATTTATCTGGAACCATAAAAGACTCCAAATAGTCAAAGTAATCCTGGGCAAAAAGAGTTAGATGCATTATAATACCTGATTTCAAAATGTATCACATAGTCATACTGTCAAAATAGCATGGTGTTGGCATAAAAACAGATATAGAGGTTAATGGAATAAACTAAAGAATTCCAAAAAAAATAAAAACATGCAGCCATCTGATTCTTGATGAAGGTGCCAAAAATATAAGTTGGAGAAAAGATAGGCTCTTCAACAAATGGTGCTGAGATATATGGACATCCTATATATCTCAAAAGCCAACTTAAAATGGATCAAAGACCTTAATATATGATCTGAAACTATTAAAATAAGCATAGGGATAACACTTCAAGATATAGATTCAGGCAATGATTTTCTGAGTAGAAAGAACTCCAACAGGGGCTGGGGTCGTGGCTCAGTGGTAGAACTCTTGCCTTGCACTGTGGGGCACTGGGTTTGATTCCTAGTACTACATAATAAAATAAAATAAAATACTAACTAAAGGTATTGTGTCTATCTACAAAAAAATGTTTAAAAAAAAGGCAGAGAGAGAGAGAGAGAGAGAGAGAGAGAGAGAGAGAGAGAGAGAG